CATTGATTAGCTCATCGAGTTCCCTTTTAACTCGCCCAGTTCATACGTGTCCAAGAATTTGGAGAAACCCTAGCCGACTCTCCGAGTCTTCGAACGACTCGCCAAGCTCAAGGCAATCTTCAATGGACTCGCTGAGTTGTTCATCCAACTCGTCGAGTTCGTGACCATATTCAACGGGCTCGCCGAGTCGTTCATCCAACTCGCTGAGTTCTTGCAGACCTTTATCCATGTAAACGCATTTTAAGCCATGACAAGGTTCCAGATTACAGATCCAAGCTTCTAGGGCATGTTCATCACGTAAAGTCGCAAACTTTACGTGCATGCAAAGCTTTAAGACCCTTAAATGGCAAAAATAAGCTTGCAATGAAGTTCCACACTTGAGGGAAGGCTCCTACTAGGCAAGGCTGATGACTTTATGGATCTAGAGGTCAAAGGGAGTCCAGATTTGAAGTTACAACTTCAGATCTTAGCTTAAACATGGGGATCCTTTCATAAAACCCATCCAAAAGAGGTAAAAAGAGAGATGAGCTTAAGGAACAGCTTAATACCTTCCAGAGAGTGACAATTGATGAATCTCTTAGCTCCCCACGAGTTCCTAGCCTTGATTTCCTTGCTTCCCCAAGTGTTTCCTTCTCCAAAGTTCCTCTTCCAAGCTTGCACACACCAAAAGGACACACACACACACGATTTAGGGTTTGAGAGGGGCAAGGGGCAGTAAAGGGGAGGTTGGGTGTTAGGTGTGTCAGATCCAACAAATAAAGGGGTACAATAGACTCCAAGTACACTGCTTTAATGCACTAAAAAGTAGTACAAGGCAAGCAGGGTCGAACCACAAAGACACGGGACAAAAGTCTATACCTTTTTGCACAAGGTACTTTGGTCACAAAGGGGGGTTTGTTTGCAAAAGTAAATAACTAAATAACAATCTACTTTAAAAAAAAACATGCACAAAATGAAATAGATTTGTAAACAAATTGATTGAATAGTTCTAATTCTAGTTCTCAATGTTGTTGTTCAACTTGATTATGACTTGATGTAATTCAAGATTGCTATTCTATGTTGGTACTGAAAGATATTAACACGCTCTAATAACTCTCGCTTGCCAAATTATCTAACCAAAACACGCTCTTTGATTAGACCTAGCTTTACTAATTCAACCTAAACACGCTCTTAGATTGTATTGAAAAACTGCATTAAGTTTTGTACAAGCTTCCCAACAATGTTCATTTCTTCTCATACGCTCGGAAGTGTGAAAACATGTGATATATGTTTTACAATAAGAAAACTTATTGTTTGTTACAAATTATTAACTCAATAGAACGATTAGGTGCCCTAAAAGTTAATTAACTTCACAAAAATTCAATTCATGAAAGTGGCCAATCAAACACAAATCAAATTCAAGGATTCTAGTTTAAACAAAAACATAATCACTAGAATATAATCACAAATCAAACATCAAATCATATGCTTCAAGTCAAGCAATCAACATTTTTTTGAACAAGAACTAGAAACTAGGGTTTCTTAGCCACACATGGCTAAGAACAAATCAAACAAGAAAAATGATGGAATTGGAATGTTTAATCCTTACAAAAGTAAAATCCAAATGTTTGCAATGATTAAGTCTTCTCAAAAGCTCCAAGAATTCTCCCAAAATTGGCCTAGATCGCCAGAAACTACTCCCAAAACCGTTCTCTCTTCAAAATGACGTCTCCTGCTCTTTTATTAAAGTTCACGTGACATGCCATGAGGCCATGCGTTTTTAGCATGGCCATGCCTTTTGCCCATGTGTTTTTTTTGGCATGTCCATTTGTCTTGACCATGTGTTTTTTGGCATGGCCCATGCTTTTTGCTAAAATTCCAAAGAGTCTTCATTGTTGGCTCCATCTTCATGTTTTCTGCCATAGAATGACCGGTTCATCTTCTCTTCATGTTCCAAAGCTCTACGCTCCAAGCATCCAAGCATCCATGCATCCAAGCTCCACGTTCCATGCTCCATAATGCCTGCAAAATAAATCAAAAATAGTGAAGTACCAGACATTCTTAATGAAATATGTAATTGCCCTAATAATCAACTAAATGCAAGAATTATGAGGTGGAATGCTATAAAAAGACGGAAATAATCATGCAAAATAGGTGCATAAAATGCACTTATCATTGGGGGATGCCAATGATCCTTTAAATAGGGTGAAAAACCCCGAGATTTAGGGTTTCATCTGCCAGCTCCTACTCGTCGAGTCCCATCTTGGACTCGGCGAGTAGGTCATTAAAATACGTGGACCAACCTGCTGCTACTCGACGAGTAGGGCAATCAACTCGTCGAGTAACCCTTGAAATCAAGAAACTCATACATTAAATCAATACCTGAGAATCGGAACGTTACATTGTCACTTACCGAAGGTAATGAAACTCCAGGATACCATGGAGGCTTTTTCATGTGATATTGTTTTTAATAGAAGAAAACTTTTTTGTATGTGGTATGTAGCATGGTATAACCATAAAGGTGTTTTTTTTTGTTTGTGTGGCCCAATAGCAAATTAAAACCACTAAAGTTCTATTTTTTTATGTTTCTCTGATTTTTTAGAGGTTCTAAATGTTTGAAACTAATTTCTTTTGTTAATTTTATTTTTCATTGTTTTTAAATGTGAAAATTTGAACACATGCAAACTAACTTTTGTCTATTAAACTGGTTTATATATATTCTCACTGTTTTTTTGAGGTTCTAAATACTTGAAAAATAGGAATTAATGGTTCTAAATTTGATTGTCCGTATTGACAAAGCTTCTCATCTGTCAAGGTTTTCTTTTCTATTTTATTAGGTATGATAATGGTCTTCAACAAGTAGAAATCAGTAGTTTGATTAAATGTATTTTTATGTTTCAGGTTGTAAGAGAGGGGTTGTATGATCACTAATGTTCGCTCAAAATTCCACCAAGCTTAGAGATATTGTAGGTCTCTTCTTTAATATGCCATATTTCTTTTCATGCGGAGCCATGTGTCCTTTTTTTAACTAAATGCTATATGGATAAATGGTCCATGCACTACTCTTTCTTTTATGCAAAATCTATGGGAAAGTTAATACAACATTTTGGATTCCAAAAAAATTTAACTAAATGTTATATGGATAAATGATATATTTTATCATAGAACCAATCTTAGGAAATTGTAATAATAACTTATGTGAGACTTAATTGACTTTGATTCCAAAATTAATTTCATTGAACCTTCCATTATTCATATATAATTTTTGAAAGGTTCACTAAGTTTTGAACTTTCCAATATTCATAAGTTTATTATATATATATATATATATATATATATATATATATATATATATATATATATATATATATATATATATATATATATATATATATATATATATATATACTAGCTGTTTACCGGCGCTAAGCGACGGATGCAAATAAAATTTCTCAGAAATTAGTTGTAGAGTCAGTAACAATAAAAATGAAGTGTTTTACTTGTTTACAAATGTGTATGAACACATGATTGATTGTATATTGTTATTCGTGCAACATTTTTATACAACACATTTGATGCATAAACTTTATTGTCGTTGAATTGTTCGTTAGACTTCACGAATATTTTTTTATTGATACGTGATATCCTTCTGGATAAAGTTGGAGATGCGAATAGTTAGTTTTGGAAATTATTTTCATTCGGAAACACGTTATATTTCAAGGAACATAAGTTACTTTTCGACGAATCGTTTCTTTTCGCTATCTATTTGTCATACGGAAATGTCCATTTTTATTTGTTGTTTTGAATTAAAAATAGAAGCATGTTGATGTTTTTTGTTTAAGCATAATAGTTAAATAATATATGAAAAAGGGAAGTACAAGCTTCAATAACATGAAAATACATCAAACCTAATTCGCTTACTGATGGGTGAATCCTCAAAGCTGCGACTCTGCTGCCCCAGACAGAGGTGCACAGAAGACCATATTACAAAAGAAAAAAATGAAAAGCATATCAGAATTTGTTTGTGAGAGTTGCACACGAAATTTCAATGTCTCCAAAAATATGTACCTTTTATGTGTACCTATCTTTAGCGATTCCATATGATGCTTTACCAGAGGATAGGGTGGATAGACTTCTACAACAAATTAGTTGCTCTTGAAATTGAGAATCCGCAACTTTAGAAATGAAATTTGCTTGTACGCACATATAAATAAACTAACAGATGGTTATACAAAACAAATACAATCGTTAATGAACCTGCATAAAAGATAACCCACGAACAGTAAAAACATATGAACAAAAAAATCGATTATTAGATGAATCGAACAGAAGATATATGGATTTACCTCCGACTGGTATAAAATTTTTGAGGAAAAGTCGCTTTCATCTGTTCTGTCGTCATAATTGTCTTCAATTTCTCCATATCATTTCTTTGTGGCACATTAAACTTTGCTGTGAAAAGTTTGGGTTTCGCATATAGCAGTGTTGGGTGATTGAAGGCGATACGAGGCTGGGTTTACTTCTTAGAGAGAGAGAGAGAGAGAGAGAGAGAGAGAGAGAGAGAGAGAGAGAGAGAAAGTAAACACGAACATCATAAATTAGGAAGGTGTTCACATTCACCTGAAAACATAGTTAACAAATTACTTAACTTGTTCATTATAACTCACGGAAGATTAAGCCAAGCACGATGACATTATGTCATTTCTGTGAACTCTGACGACTGAGCCGTCGTAAATAAAGATGACGCCTGCTAACCGGAGCCAAAACAAAATAGAGCACACAACAATTTAATTATACAGAATCAACATAACCCTTATAAACCCTAAGACTGATTGCCTAAATTTAATGAACAATTACCAATGCTAAGAAGAACCAGAAGAAAAGCGACCAAGTTACTATTCATGCGAAAACGATAATGCAAAAAAAAATCAATAAACACCACCAATTATACTCCACCGAAGATAATAAACGATAATGTTGTCTCATGGTCCCATTCACTTCCGTGCTCCTTCGAAGATCCTATGGTGTACCATTCGAGGTCAGGTGGCGATGATGGAGGCACTGAGACATTCAACAACGACGCCAAGAGAGAGACAGTAGAGATTTTCTTTGATTTGGTGAGTAGTGTTGTGTGTAGGAAGGAGATGGAAAGAATAGGGTTTTGATTTTCTGATGGTGGTTGTTGTGTGTAGAGAAAATTAGGTTAACATCTTCGATAAGGTAATACCGTGTATATGTGATTATAAGCTTAATATTATTGTACATGAGGTTATAGGTATTGTACCTCTTAATTTTCAAGAAACAAACAATATATTTAATAATATAGTAAAGATAAAGATATACTAATTTTGTCACGCGAACAGTTTTTGCATCTGACTCGTTTCGTTGTTTTTTTTTTTTAAAAAAAAAAATTCATTTATTTTATGTCTACTTTTTTTATTTATCCATTTATCCAATTATTTATTTCTATATAGTGGATTACAAGTGTGTCCTACGTGTTCTTCTCTTCCTCTACCCGGTTCCTGCTTCCAACACGGTGTCCTCCACCGTCTTTATTCCCCAATCACATTATTCCACCGTATCTTCTCTAAACCGCTTCGTGTCCTACATCTCTTCCACCTTCTCGATCTTCATCGTCTGCTTCCTTCATTTGCTTCAACTTCAGGAAGGTGTCGTTTCATCCTCCCGCTTCCGACCGCTACAGGTTTGGTTTATTGTATCTATAAGACTGTGCACATCTTTCCATCCTTCAACCGATTGTCTTCTGATTCTAAGTCTTATCCGCTTGAACAATGCTACTGGTTAATCTTCTCTGATTTCTTAACAGATATTAGATTTTTTATTGGTTTCATTGTATGTTTATTATTATGATAACGTATCCATTGACGTCTTGGTGGTTTGATCCCGAGGATTACTGAATTTGGGTCCAGTTTTTTTATGGGTAAGATTTATTTGACGGTTCCTATGGATTTTTTTGACGTTTTCTTCTCTAATGTCTTGATTTCGTTGGTGATTATTTTAATCGTGTCAATGGAAACGATGTTATTGATTGTTTTTACTTTATCATAAATCTGTTGATGATTTGGGCTGGATTGTTTTTTGTTAGGTGGATGAGAAAGATGCCCTAGCTTCACACAGCAGATGATTCTAAACCCATAACACTCAGTGTGTGATTGAGGTAAGTCATTGTTCAATAGAGGTGAAATTGATGGTCTATTTTACCCTACTGTGGAGTTTTGATCATGCCTACAACCTGTTTGATAAAATGTTTTAACTAATAAGGCTCGATTTTTTCCATATGTAAGTAGGTTCTTGATTTTCATTGCTATGAGATGTGAGGTAAGTTTGACATATTTCAGTTGATTATAGTATTCTATTAGATGCTCACCATTTTCCCTTTTTGATTTTTATACAGAATGATGAAACGTCACCATTCATTCATTTTGCTGGGTATGCTCTACATATTAAACTTTTATATTGGATTTTGCTTTATATCATTCTAAGACACTAATTTATAATACAACTGGGGGTCAGGTTTTTCATTACAAGAAGATCAATAGACATTGACCAGGAAGATTGTTGAAGTATTGTGTGGGTCAAGAAATCGAGCACGTCTACTGTTACCTTTAAGGTATATTACAACTCATAATTGAACAATAGATGATACCAGTTGTATGTACTGTTATTACATTAATTTCAAACACTACGAAAATCAAGAAATTGTTGTGTCTTATAATTTACCCTTTTTCAAAAAAAAAAAAAAAAAAAAAGCAACCAAATTGTTATTTCTCATGTTTAAGTTGCATGTTTTTTTTTTGTCGTACGCCCAAACATAGGGTATGCTCTTTTCCTTTGTATGTTTTAGATTATGGTCGTGGTATAAAAAAATTTATCGGTTTTCATTAATAATTGGCTTTGTTTTTAGAAAATAGAAATAGACCTTTTAAAACTTAAAAAGAGTTAAGTAACTAAATGAGCACAAAGTTCAAAGTTTGATGATCTTTTAAAACTTAAAAAGAGTTAAGTGACCAAATGAGCACAAAACTAAAAGTTAAGTGACCAAAAATGACCTAAACCCTAATTCAAAAAACAATAATATTTTTAATTTTCAGTGGAAGTTTGTCTCGGTTGTGATATATGCTAGATTCTTGGATTTGAAATATAAGAAGGGTATTTTGGTCTTTTAGTAGAAGAGAAAGAAAGACATAGAATTCCTTCTACTAACCCTTCCACCAATCCGAGAAATTTATCAACCATGTAATTGGGTCCATATGGAAAGAAAGAAATCTTGAATTCCAATTCCCTTCTATTTGATCGTTGGGTAATATCTATAAACAAAAAAATGGAATACAACTGTTTACACCAACTATCTTAATGTTGAAATCCATCAAAAATGAAATTGAAGAAATCTCATATGATCTATCTGTTTTTCCCAATTCTTTGGTGTTTCCAATTCTTTGGGTAATATCTATAAACAAAAAAATGGAATACAACTGTTTACACCAACTATCTTAATGTTGAAATCCATCAAAAATGAAATTGAAGAAATCTCATATGATCTATCTGTTTTTCCCAATTCTTTGGTGTTTCCAATCCTGCAAAACGGGGTTCTTCCCTAGTTTGTACTAAATTTGAGATTTTAGAATACTTATACCCCTAATGGTAACATCAATTTTTACGTGTAATGTCCAAAGAAAAAAAGGACAAACATTGTATTAAACTTTAGTTGCTACTAAGTCGAAGGTTTTTATATGTATGGGTTTTGATTAAGAATTTGATTTATGTTTAACCGTAACAAATCCGTAAATCCATCGGACCGGACCAGAAAAAAAATCAGGACGAGACCGGGATCAAACCGGAAATGCCTATATCGGTTCCATTTTTTTGTGAAATTCGGGTTTCAGTTAAAACCCGGACCGAACCGGTGGTCCAATAGAAGATCTGGACTGGATCGGTTCAAAAGACTTTGACTTTTAATTGAAATTTATGGATCGGTTCAAAAGACTGACTTTTAATTGAAAGTTTTAATTGAAATTTATAGCTCATAGGATGCAACATATAGGGATCATATATTTGACAAGACATAGTTTTTGCCTCTCCCATACACAACAACACTAAAACAATTAATTTTGTTTCTTCCTTGGTGATCGACGACAACACACAAGATGAGTAAAATTGTTTTTGAGAGCTAAACCGGTCAAACCAAACCATGAAACACCTTTCACCCTTGGTATTTAAAAATTATTGTTTCATGTTCTGTTCACTAAATAAAATATAAATTATTGGTATTTTTGGATTTAGTATAATATTTTGGTAATATGAAGTTCAATCGATCTTTGTTTTTATAGTTAAGCGCTTAACTACAAAAACAAATTTAAGTAGTTAATGTCAAAACATAATTTAAGTAATTTTTTTTACAAAAAATACAAAGTGAAATATGATGGTGTCCATGTGTGACTTGTGCAATTTCTTTGAACTTCATAATTCTTCACTTCAAATTACAAATTAACGTATTCACACAGTGCAATTTCTTTGAACTTCATAATTCTTCACTTCAAATTACAAATTAACGTATATCAATGATTATTTTCGGTTGATATCTATTTTAAAAATTAATAACTTATATTGTTAGTTTATAATAAAATTATAAACTGTGTTTGGTACGTGGTTATTACATGTGTTATTATATATGAAGCCCAAAACAAATGGTCCAAACAAATATTTAGCCCAACAAATGATACAATTCGGGCCAAAAACCAAAACTCGGTAGGTGATCTGGAACCCGACCGGACCCAAATCGGAACCGACATATCCTAAACGGTCTGGTTTTCAATTAAAGTAATTCATGAATTTCAGGTTTCGAGTTTTCGTTCTTCGGGCCAGTTCGGTTCGGTTTTAGTCCATTGCTCATCCCTAATTAAAAGTGAAAACATACTTAAATTCCATGTATCAAATCATAATTAACTAAAAAAAAATACTTGATTCAATAACTATTTATAATGACCTATAATAGCAATGTAAATAGGTTACTATAGTAAATTAAATATTGCTATTTTTGATAAAAATAAAAGAGTTACAGTTGTTCTATTATCGGTAAATAGATGCAAGTATATTTTTCTTATGGTTAAGTGTGTTGTCTATATTGGTAAAATAAAGAAGGTTGTTTTATTTTATTAAAGTCTACATGGGTAATTAGGTTAGAACTAAAGCAGAAAGAAAACCATTTGAATGCTCATTGTAAGTTGACATTTCTGAAAAAACTATTTGTACCCGTCACTTGGCGCGGGTAATCGGTTAGTGTGTGTGTGCATATATATATATATATATATATATATATATATATATATATATATATATATATATATATATATATATATATATATGTTTTGGTTATTCTATTCAAACTAATTATTGTGTTATTGTATGCATAAATGTGAGCCAATCATTTTACTTATTTTAAGAAAATGATTAATACATGTTATTGAATTAAATATAATTGAAACATACCATCCAATTTAACTAGAAGGGTATTTTAGTCAATTAATATATATTTAATAAAGGAAATTTGCATATTTTAAAAGATCATAGATTCTATTAATTTTAAAAATCCGATTTTTACTAATTATAAGGTTTTTAATTCGGACATTCTGACAGAATATGTTGAGTATGTTCAAATTCTCGAACCAACAATTGAAAAATTAAAACAAAAATTACATTAATTCTTATAGAATACATGTAATAATTGTTAAAAATTACATTTATTGTTAAAGAATAAAACAAAAAAAACTTTCAAATCGGGAAAAAGCATCAAAATCTAACAAATACACTAATTCATTCTAGAAGAATAATGTTGCTAATAAACACTTTTAATTTTGTTGTCCGTTCTGCAAGCATCAACTTCTGTGAAAACATATTCAATTGTAGTTTAGAATCCAATAACGCATTAGCAAATGATAAATAAAAAACTATATTCCTTTGGAAAAATATGCGGACTTGTTAACTACACCAAAACCAATATCAAAAATTGTAGAACATGTATAATCAATGAGAAAATATCCATATTCCATTCCAACATAATTAGAATTCGTGTTTCCATTCCGATAGAATTTGAATTCGTGATTCTATTATGATAGAATTGAAATTGTATAAAATACACAAACCGATTTAATGCTTCTAAAACGTCAGAAGGGGCGAGATTAAGTTCATCAAGAACTATCCAATGACCATTTCTAACTGCTTTAACCAACACCCCTTCTTGGAAAACAAGTTTCCCACTTGCGTCAGTTATATAAGAACCCAAAAACTCAATCAGCCCTACGTCGAGTTCCTTTCATTGAATTTCCGATTTCCAGTAACTACAAGAAAAGGGATGGCCGCTGGTGGCGGTTTTCCGGATTTCGTTAGTGTGAGGTCCGTAGATGTCGGAGGTGTCGAGATGAGTGACGCCGGAGTTGATGGCGTGGTGGATGACTTTGATAACCTCTTCTTCAGGTTTGGAAAGTCCATAGCCTTGATGTCGAATTGAAGATATGAAGTTGCTATGGTCGGCCGATGATAAGGGTGTGAGGCCGATTTATGAAGGGGATAAATTTAGGGTTAAAAAAAAGTCAATACCATGATTATAGGAATTATTTTTGGAAGTTATTAATCATATTACTAAATTACCTTTATTTATTTAATTATTTAATTTTGATTGGCTCACATTTATGAATAGAATAACTAAATAATTACTTTAAATACATGAACCTCTCTCTCTCTCTCTCTATATATATATATATATATATATATATATATATATATATATATATATATATATATATATATATATATGCAATCTCAAACAAATAAATAGGTTGATTTTTTAATTCAATAAATATTATGTATTCTATTCATTTCAATTCGGGAACACAAAATAAAAAAGAAAAATTTACTTCCCCTTCATTTTTCTTTTTTCTGTCAATATTTTTCTTTGTTTTCTTTTATTGAATTTACTAAAAACCAAGAAACAAAACCTAAAACGTAAATGTTTTAACTTATGTTTACTTAAACAAATAAAATGTACTTATTAAATAATTTGGATAGAGTTAAGCCTCTCGTGTTCTATCTTCTAATATGCCTAAAGATAACGTGGCACATGGAGCAGATCTTAAAAAATCAATTATATTATTTTCTTGTTTGTTAAAAAAGTGCAACATGATTTGATATTAATAATTAAATAGATGTTGACTAATAACAAGTATTTAATATATATCTAAAGTTAACAAATTTTGTAAATTAAAATTTATTCTGTTAATGTATTGTAAAAATAGATACGTGAATGCAAAAAACTGAAACATTTTTTTAAGATGAAGCATTTTTGTTTATAAATATAGTGTTTCTATTGCTATATAATGAAGTTGGTTTAATGGTTTATAACAATTAAAATCATATACAAGTATACAACCATTATAAAAGTTATATAGTTCATTTATTCATGACATTATTTTTTTATCCATATTATAAATTAATACATCCCAACTGATAGCATGTTCCTCATGCATGACAACGAAACACGCGAAATATAAGAAAATCTTATGTTCCCCAACCATAAAACTCATTTTTTTTAAAGAAAATGAATATTCATCACTAATGTATGTCCATTCAAAACCCGTCTAGTTACACCAGGACTTAAAATTTGGAGTAAATTACACGAATGGTCCCTATGGTTTGGAGTAATTTGTACGTTTGGTCCCTAACTAAATTTTTTAACTCGGAAGGTCCCTACTATTTGTTTTTGTTACGCGCTTGGTCCCTACTATTTAT